ACTCAAAGCGCTGTGTCCTTTATGCAAATAAATAAGATTAGCGACAAAACGCACATGGGTAGAGTGTCCTCAGGAATATTTTAAGACTGCAAAAGAGATAGTAGACCCTGAGCTCGGCCACAGTCTTCGGCTATTACCGTCTAGTTTCATTAAACAATACATTTGCGTGTAATGAGCGGTATCCAACACTGTGATGAGGCCGACAAAAGAGGCGGTTATCGGCCGTTGGCGGTCATGGCCGATTTCGGGATATGATGTACGAATACTTGATAAGTGCATACACGCATGGCTTTAAATTGGTTTGACACATTAATACCATCAGAAAATGACCTGGCAAATAGGTTTGCAAAAGTGACGATAAGACTTAAGCCATATAAGTTCCTGTAGTTCATTCCACCTACTCTACGAGATCAACGCAAGGGTACCCGGACCCCAATCGTCAGGGGTTACTGCACCTACCGCTGCTTGGTTAACTGTCTCATGAAGACCGGTCGTCGGCACAGCATTTGCAGACTTAAACAGAGGCATCTTTCTCTCCTGACGGCTTATTGTATGGCCTCACCATTGCGTTCGGGATTTTTACCAAGGGAGAAAAAACATCGTAACATAATGCGGACTCGCGAAGCCCACAGCATCGCTTTTGATTTACCACTGGTTAGTGAAGTTGAAAATGTGCGTAAATTTCTCAGTAAACTTAGTTGTATGATTGCGAAGAGCAGAGAAGAGCATCGGTTATATCGGTAAGCGTTACGTTGCTACATGAAACCGTCTGAAGGAAAGTATGTTGAGCGCATAACGGTCAAGCGTGTGCGACGGAGAACGGGCCGAGCCCGAATTCGCTGACAGCTATTACACCAGAAATATACTTGCTATCACGGAATTAGCCAACAAAAACGTTAAGTTTGTTCAAATGTAATCCAATTTGCAAGAAGAGTATCGCTATACTACCAGCCTAAGTACCAGTAGTTATGCTGGGCGGGATTGTTGCTCGCAAATAACCGAATTTAGCCAACAAAGTGTAACAGTCCTCAGTCCCTATCACATCAAAATGAAGGCCGAAAACGGCAAATTAGTTGGAAGATTAAGGAGTCGTGTAGTCACATCCACTTACTCGCCAATAATTATAAAAAAGCATGGCGATGAAGTTGTCTAACAGTTGAAATTGTATAACAGTGGGACTAGAAGATGACTCTACCACACTGATAGGCATCTGATGCCAGGGCGCAGACAGAGATGATAATGACTTGCTCTCCTTGTCACAAGTCATCCACGACTGGTTCCCAAGTGCGTCATGCTTAGTTCGCTCGTCCCACTTAGGTGATCGAATAAGGCCAATGACGTCAGGTGCAGACTCAGTGACGAGATCTGTCAGGTAAAAGGCAGTAACCTATGTAAGTAACAAAATTGAATCCCAATATAAGGTGCATATTAAGGAACAAATGTACCGGAACCTTCCCCAGCCAGTTATCTGCCTGCGATGTTATTGGATTTTCGACTACTGACCACTCGTTCAATTTATTTTTCCACAGTTAACACTTAGCGCAATAGCATATCCTCAAATTCCGCCATGAGGTCCAGCAGCTGACGACTGCTTCTTTTGATATTGTTGCAGTGTTGGATACCGCTAATCTGAAGTAGATGCATCGTTTAATGAAGTTATACGGTGACGGCCAAAGCAAATACTCGAAATCAAGGCCTGCTATCGTTCTTACAACCCAATAATATTCATCAAGGCGTTCGATAAGTCTGCAGATTTTCGCTCATCTAACTTATCTGTATGAGTGAGTGAGAACTTCGAGTGGATATGGTCGTTTTTCAGTACCGCTACACTAGTGTCCGTCCGCGATCACCAAAGGAAAATAATGTATAGAGCAAAGGGGATCGCTACAGAAAAACGGTACCGGCCTTTTTTAACGTTACAAGTAGGTTGGGGCCGAAAGTGACCTACAGCACACTCGGTCAAACGAAGGTTCCCTAGGAAGTACTTTGCAATTCTTCGAAAGTGTTAAGCAAACAAACACAACAGATGAGTTGGCACAAAGATCTGCGTGTGCCGGGTATTCATTTGTCAGTCTTCCTTCACGTTTGGTAAAGTTGGGCGAAGTGGGTGATCGGGCGAAAATTTGGTATTTTGACTATCTTTAACTAGGAACGCTGTGATTAAATGCAGTTACTACCTCTATTTCTAACAGATTAACCTGGAGCTACAGTGATACTAATACTAACCGCATAAATTTGGCGTTGCTACCCAAAGTCCGAGGTCATTTTCTAATAGTAACTAGTAATAGTAGTGGTAGTAGTATTATTAGTAATAATAGTAGTAGTAGTAGTAGAAGTAGTAGTAGTAGTGGTAGTAATAGTAGTAGT